ACCAGCCGAGGTGACATCATCAGTGCTTGTGATGATGTCACTTCGGCTGGTGATGAAATGTTTGCAAACAAATTGCCAAGCTCGGCGAGCAGGCTAAATGGAATTCACTTCACTCGAGCTACAAGAACCGATTTTCAATAATTTATCAACAATTGAGAATTATCCGGCTTCGTCTTTCCAGCTAATCTGTCCCATTCCCCTCGCTCTCTGTTTGATCCCCATTTCGTCACTCTGCGTATTTCAGGCCTTCGACAATGTGGATATCGAGCAGAAAATGAGCATTCGATTTTTGGAGTAAAATCGCCAATCATTTTACCTACTCATTTTTACACATCCGGACAGGAGCCAATGTATCTCAGATTATGCCAGGCCGGATTCTCGTTCTTCCTTGATGATTCAGACCAGACTGCAACCGGTGTTTGATGCGAACACCATCCAACCAACTTACGTACCCCGCTGTACTCTCCTATGCATACTCGTCTGAGATCCTATTGTTTGTCCCGTACGTGTGCATATCTTGATGCCACAATATTATCGCCAGCTATTTTTTCTACCGCCTTGATTTTTACTTTTGTTCTATTTGCTGTTTTGACCTATCTTGTAACCAACCACTAATGACTTGATTCTCACCCGGCCACCTATCTCGATTGTTTCCTTGTTTATATTTGTTTTTGTTCTATGCGTGTGTGCGTGTTGCTGTCTTCACTGCGCACTTCTTGAATCTCAGATATGTGTGATAGTTACGATGTTTTTTCTTGTTCTCTCTTACCAAATGGGCTTTTGGACAAACGATCTCCAGTCAGATAACGGCATTCACAAATTGCCTACACCTTGTGATGCTGTGCGTTTGGTTTATCGTTCGTGCCTCCTCCAGGGCACACCGTATCACTACCACCGCCGGGTTCAGTTTTGTACGTCGAGCCTTGTCTTGTTTGTTGTCTTTGATTCACCGACGTGATCTGTCGGCTTGTATAAGCGAGCAATTGAGAAAGATAAGACAGAACAAATAAAACAATTACTGTCGAAAATGCTCCGGTGCCTAAAGTAGGGGGATGTATTTAGACACTGTCACATTTGAACAAATGCGACCGACTGGAACAATGGTCCCGAGACTATGGCTTACTAAAGATGGATTGTCTCTCCGACCAATCCTAAACGTCTATTATACCGTGGCTCAATGGTTGGTAGCTATCCTGGAACCCGTGAGAGCACAACTTAGCACCCACGTTAAAGGGTTTCCATGACTTCGTTGCCCGAATTAAAGACTAAAACTTAAATGATATACGGATGATATCATTCGACGTCAGGTCCCCCTACACAAACGTTCATATTGCTGAAACAATCGAATACGTATGTGACCACATACAAAGCAATGATTGTGAAATCGGGATATCACTTAGCATTCTCAAACAATTGTTATACTTGTACACACGCGACATACAAAATAAATTCAACTAAATGTCAAATGGGGTCTCATCTGGTCCACTTTTCGCAGATGTCTTCATGGATGAGCTGGAGAATAACACTCTCAAACGAACAATCGATCGTTACACATTTTGTAAGTGCTATGTGGATGGCATTTTGTACTTTGTCGATCACAGTGTGATCTATCGGGACTCTTGAAAGTCGTTAAATCAGTTCATCCACACAGTGTTACGGAAGAGAGCGAAGAGAATGAGCAGTTCGCGTCTCTGGACGCGCTACGAAGTCGTTAATTAGACAGAACTATCCAACTCGCCATCCACAGGAAGCCAGCGTGAAATAATCATGCGTGTATCCATTTCAAACTACGTGAACCACTGGAAAAGAAAAGAAACCTGATTCAGGGCATAGTTATCAGAGCGCGGGAATTATGTACCGATGATTCCATTGAGAGCGAACTGAAGTTGAGCCGAGAAGTTTTCCTTCAAGACGGATACCTAGAACGTTTCATGGACAACAATTTGAGGCGTCACCGGTTACCAAAGAAGATCAATACCGTTGAGAGGAAGCCGGTTTACAAATCGCTATACAACTGCCGAAATTGTGACACGTAAAGTGAGTACAGGTGTGGAGATGGTTGAGTGGTGGAGTGATTAGGCCTATCAACAGTTTGACCATTTCACACCTATAAGAGTCAAAACACGTGTTTGATGTAGCAGAAACGTTTAGTCCCATCCACGTAGTTCGCAGCCATCGATCTAAAGGAATTAGGAGTCGCCGGTTGTGGATTCCTCAAGAGAATTCGCCTGCCTTGGCCTGGGCAGCCTGGCAGTATTCCGCCCAAATGCAAATCATGGAACGTCTGTTATTTTT